ACCGAGGGTTGCGATCCCGTTGCCAGTCCCGGTCCGGTACGGGCGCGACACTGAGGGTTACAATCCGTTGCCGGACATGAAAAAAGACAAAAAAAAAAAAAGGAAAAAAAAACCCAAAAAAACAAAAAACATAGAGATATATAGCTATATGTGTAGGAAGTAATAAGAATAATTTTGTAAGCCATACAAAACAACTAATTTTAGAGTTCCTCTGTGTGTGGGATTCGGAATCATATGTGCCGTGAATGTGTGCTCTTTGACAGCAAGCCCTGGGGACCCAGCAAAGCAAAATACATAAATCTACACTCACCAGATTCTCAGGAGAAAAGAGGGAAAACAAACACATAGGAAACACCAAACTTTTTTGGTCAGAAGCAAAAAAACAATTTTCTTTGAAGCATGTCCTCTTTCACATACGTGGCAGACAACTTGGCTGGCCTAGAAGGCGGTGGGGGCAGGGAGCAGGGGTTTCTGGCAGTGGTAATGGGGCGAGGCCATCTGGCCCACATGGCCTTCTCGGTCCCACATCAGTGCCCACATACACTTGGTACCACGTGAGTGCTCTGCAGATCTGTGCCATCTGGAGTGAGTGCTCTCCTGCGGATAGGGCAGTGTGCTCTGGTGCATGGCACCGCTCTGCACAGGCCTGAGCTAGCACTTGGGAGCCACTCTGATCCCTGTTCCCGTCCCACTCAAGGCTGCTCAGACATTCTTTGGAATGGTTCCCACAAAAGGGGCCCTGCCTGGGAACTTTTTTTCTCTCTCTTCCTTTGCTTGTTTTGTTTTGGGAGTAAAAGCTCTTTCCCAAGCCTCAGTTTTAAGGCAGTATCAGAGGGAGAGCAGCCATCACACCATAAGCCAATGAAATTGTCCCCCATGTGTCTCAGTTGGATGCATTGGAGTATTTAGACAACAGCTGCCCATATAGCAGTGAGGCTGGCAGCCTCCTTTAGTTTTCTTGACAAGGGCCAGCCCATGGCTGCCTCAGGAGAGTGTGGTGCTGATAACACCAAGGCTATGGGTTCGGATCCCTATATAGGGATGGCCAGTTAGCTCACTTCAGAGAGCATGGTGCTGACAACAACAAGTCAAGGGTTAAGATCCCCTTACCAGTCATCTTTGGGGAAAAAAAAAGTTTCTTGACAGTCATGTTCTTGTGTGGGAGGAAAGAATGACTGAAAGACGCCTGTGAGCCAGTGGGAAGTGTCTCTCTCTTTCCCTGGCCTCCATCATCCCAGGAGAGAATGGGCAGTGAAGGAAGCCCAGCCACATGGGGGCAGGGGGCTGCTAATGCTGGCTTTTCTTCTCCTGGTGTCTGGCAGCTGGTGTTGCGAATCAATGCCATCTATGAGGCCCGGAGAGGGAAGAAACGCGTGAAGAGGCTGTCCCAGTCAACGGAGAGCAACTCAGGAAAAGGTAGAGCCCCCACCGCCATCCCTCCTCCCCGAGAATCTGAAAACTGACTCTTTCTAGAAGTTGCCTCCTGTTGTTTGTGGCCGATCACTACAGTTGGAGCTCGGCCTGGGGTGAGATGTCCTCTGCTTCCCTTGCCTTGTCTACCATCAAGTCAGCCAAGTACCACATGCCCTCCCCTGACTGTGGGCTCAATCTTCCTTACTTCACATGCATAGAAGGGGTCAGTATCGCTTGCAGCATTATTTGATACAGGTACCCTCTTAACTAGAGCCAAAATACTTTGGGAATACATTGAGTTGGGCAAAGACATAGTTTGTCCATTACATTTAAATAGACCACAAAACACCTGCTCTGAACTAGAAATTCTGGATTTGTGCTGCCACATAGAAAAAGCTTCCTGCATTAGAAAAACTCACATTTGCAACTTTCTCCCTTGTTCTTTTGTTGTAGTGACAGATGAGAACAGTGAGTCTGACAGTGACACGGAAGAGAAGCTAAAAGGTGAGGAGAGCATTGCTGTGCAGGGTGCATGCAAGTGACTTGGAAGCTGGCCCCTCCTCCACAGTGTGAGGGACAGAAGCATCCTGCCTGAACTTGCTGGGCAGGGCTTGAATGTCTGAGGGGACAGTGCGGTCAGTCATGAGCAAGACCAGAATGGGACTGTGCAGTCACTGAGCCTCCCACTCGGCTGCAGAGATCCAGGGTGGCTGCAGTACATGCAGCGAGCCCTGTTCCCATGCCTCTTCCTATGTCATGAGGTTTTTCATACTGTATGACACGACGCTGCTAGCACGGGACTCCAGAGACCTGGCGCTCTTGCCCCACTGCTGTTCCCAGTTGCTGTGTGAGTCTATGGCTGTACCACCCTGACCGCACCTGATCACCTCTGATCAAATTGCTGTGTGATCTGGAAGAAATCACTTAAGATCTAGAGCCTCTAGTTCTTCCTCTGTCAAGTGAAGTTGTTGAAATAATTGGTTCTTATGGGTCTAAAATTCGGTGATGTAGGTCTAGGCTTCAGTGAGTTTTCTGCAATTCCCCAGACCCCCGAGAAAAGCCAAAGAAAGCAAGTCCAGGTTTGCTGAGTCAGGTGATGGGGAACTGTCCACCCAGTGGCCCTGCCTCACTCACCTCTAACAGCCCCCTGGCCTACCTCTAGTGTGAAGCTAGTTCGTTTCCATTGCACAGAATTGGGAACAGGGGAGGAGGTGGGTGGGAGTTCCTACATTAGTCGAGTTGTCGCCAGTTGAGTCACACGGGATGTTTACAAAGCTCCCAGCTCCAAAAGCTCTATGGTCTGGATTTTGTCACATCACACAAACTGAAAGACAAAGGAAGTGAGTGAAGGGAGGAGTCAGTGTCCCCACCCCAGAAGACAGATGAAGGCAGACTTCTCATGCCTCTACCGAGTGCAGATGACAAAACCAAAACTGTGACACAGCAGAGGCCGCACAGTTCCAGGCTTCTGCACCCTGCTGGGTCAGTGGCCTACTGAACGTTGCTCCTCCCAGAACCTTGGCAAGGATCCCAAATAAAGAGTTTTCTACTAATGTGTTAGATGTGGAAGCACTTCGGGGATTAGAAAGTCCTTGAGCTGGGAATTACGTAATCAGTTGTAGCTCTGTGCAGGTCCACGTGGGCAAGTGAGTCATGTGAGGCTCTCGGTCCCTCTCTCTCCAGCTCACAGCCAACGCCTGGTCAATGTGAAGTCCCGCCTGAAGCAGGCCCCCCGGTACCCACCACTGGACCACGAGCTCATCGAGTACCAGCAGAGGCAGCTCTTCGAGTACTTTGTGGTTGTGTCTTTGCACAAGAAGCAGGCCGGGGCTGCCTACGTGCCGGAACTCACCCAGCAGTTCCCTCTGAAGGTACTCCGATGGTCCCCTGTGGCATGCCGGGGGCCTGTAGCATTCTAGCCAAAACCTGGTTGAGACTCAGGGATGCAGGGAGGTACAGGAGTCTAAGGAACACCTAGTATCTAGAATCTTGAAAATGGGCCCTAATTAGGGTATATCAAATGAAAAAAAAACTGCAGTTGGAGAATTTGGGAGGTCCTAGGGAGGAGCCACTCAAGGGCTCAAAGTATGGGCAAAAATGCTTTCTCACTTTCTGTGGTCACTATGCTGACCATACATCTCTTTGTCCTCCCCCATCTCCTTATCTAGTCAGGCACCTCTCTTCCCAACCTAACCTAGAAGCTCTTTCCCCTCAAGCTACACAACTCTCCCTATGTAGCGTCCTGTTTGTGTCTATGCGAAGCATCTATCTCAGTGTACATGCAGGAGAATCCCCCTAATCATGGTGCATGGTTATGTGGATTTGGCTTTACCATATAGTGAATCATGGCACCTAAAAATAAAATGGCACTTAATAAAGCCTAAAATGACATGGCCAATAATATATAAATTGTTCTTAGGCTTTGACATCAGTATTAAGGAGGTTCCACCATATTCCAATCAGTTCAACCAGAATTTACCAAAAACATAATGACATTCAAGCTATTTTCTGTTTGGCCCTGAGGGATTAAAAGATGAACAAAGTATGTTTCCTGTCCTCAAGGGGTTTAGACTCTGATAGGAGGGCATAAGATAAGCATACCAAAGAAAGGAAAAAGCATGCGAAAACTCGCAAGGTAGAATATAACGATCTTTGTATAAACCCAGTGCCTCCCTTTGCCACCACAATCCCAGCATCTACCAAGGCCTAGGTCCTGGCTGTCCCCACTGCCTCCCCTCCTTTCCCAGGCCGGCCTTCCTTCTGTCCTGCCCACAGTGGTCCCCACAATAACCAAGTCCTATCCTTGGAGTTGAGGATAGCAATTATGTAAATGGAAGTAAACCATAGTCACTAGCTCTCCAAACTGGCACTTACTCACCTTCCTCCAGCTGCCAGATATCTAAGGAATGATTCCAATGCCAATGGTATGGCCAGATTTGGGGGCCATAGCATGGATAAGAGAGGCCACTGGTTATGTTCATAGTCACTTACAACACAGTAAGAACCAAGGCTTCAAGGACTGTCCTGTCATCCTATTCATTGCCCTCCGGAGCTAAAACAATGTTGTACACATGGCAGAGCTTAACCAGTGCTCTGGGAATAAAGGCATTCATTCATGAAGTAGTTAATTAATTAATCACCTTAACTATTGAATGCTGGTAGTTTCCAGCCTGGAGTCTAAAGACTCCTAGATACCCACATTTATTTTTTAGTGGAAAGTTGCATAGTCACTGTTGTTGTGTAAAGAAAAAGTCACCTATAATCCCACTACACAGAGATCATTACTATTAACATTTTGTTGTATTTTCTTTCAGTCCTTTTTTTTTTTTTTGGCAGCTGGCTGGTGTAGAGATCCAAACCCCTGATCAGTATGATAGCACTGCACTCTAAGCAACTCAGCTAACTGGCCAGGCCCAGTCTTTTCTCATAGTATAATCCTCTTACAAGACTGGGATCATACATTGTATAATTTTTATGTCATGTTTCATATACTGTTTTGTTAACCTATCATTGTTTATAAACGTATTTAATAAAAATTTTGAAGCATCATTTTTCAAGTTACGTAATGCTCCATTACGTGCATATTCCCTAATCCATTTAACCAGTTCCCTTCTGTTGGAAATGTATCTTGCTGCCAATATTTCTTTACGTATATATTTTAATGTGGTTGTGATCACCCTTGTAAGTGTATTTTTGCACATCATGCTTTTTTATGTCACCTTGCCTTCACTCACTTGCTCCCTCTGTTAGAAGGTTCTTTTCCTTCTCTCTTCTTTTTTCTCTCTTTTCTCATCTTCTCTTTTTCAACTTTTGTTCGTGGATTTTATGCAGCCACATTAATCAAGGTTTATAGTGCCTGTTTGCATGCTAATGTTCCATTAAAATGTTTGATATCACACATTTATCTTTATGACAATTCACAGAGACTGGGATATTTTCCAGTCATCTGTGACTGGTTGTGTTCGTAAGAGATTTCTTTTTTTTTTTTTTTTAAAAAAGATGACCTGTAAGGGGATCTTAACCCGTGACTTGGTGTTGTCAGCACCACGCTCTCCTAAGTAAGCCAACTGGCCATTGCTATATAGGGATCCAAACCCGTGGCCTTGGTGTTATCAGCACCACACTTTCCCAAGTGAGCCATGGGCCAGCCTAGTAAGAGATTTCTATGTGCAGCTTCCTGTAACTGTGCCTGTGTGCATATGTGAGCATGTGTGCACATAGGGCTGATCGCTCGTATATTGATGACAGTGTGTGAAGGCACATGTGTGCCTACATAGGTGTGTATCATACATGTGATCTGGGGGTGGGTGTATCCATGTAGTGACTGGGCTTCCCTACAAGGTCTGTTCTTCACTTTTTGAATGCTGTTTCTCTTGTGGGGAAATGTCTTTGTTCCTTCTTTTTGGGTTCTTTTTAATTTGGGGTGATGAATGACTCCTTGCTACAGTTATACCCTGCTGGTATTTGCCTCTCTGAGAGACTGACCAAGGGTAGTCAAAATTATTGCTTAGGGAACAGTCTCAGCTAGTGAATTATCAACTCAAAGACTGTTCCTGGACCAGTTGGGATCTTCTGTGTAATGGATGGAAGAGAGAACCAGTACATAGAAAAGAAATAGTGACTATTCTGAAGAAGAAAAACTAAAGGACAATTAAGGACTGGCACTGTCTATAAATGGTTACTATGTTTCACTGATAGTTGTCTCAACCATTAGTATTAGTAGCATCCCCTGGCTTCAATTAAATTTGTTTTTTGTTTTTGGCAGCTGGCTGGTGTGGGGATCCAAACCCGTGACCTTGGTGTTATAAGGCTTTGCTCTAACTAACCGAGCTAATCAGCCAGCCCAGCTTCAATTAAATTTGATCTAGCCTAAGGGAATCATACTGGAAGTGGTTTTAAAGTTGAAAACAATCAGTCTGGTGCTCTGTTCCTTTGGATGTTCTGTTCAGAGACCCCTCTCTCGAACACTTGGTGACCTTGGGAAGGCTCATAAATCCTTTGTGAAACAATCAATAATGCTGCTGGCCTGCAGACTTCAGAAGCTGTCTGCAATGCTGTTTTAAAGTGGAAGTCAATGGCAAGCTACTGGAAACAAAATAAGAAATCAAGAGAAATTATCACAGAAAGAATTTAGGTTAGACATTATAGTTTCCTAACCACAGAAATTAAGATATCTGGGGCTGCCCAGTTAGCTCAGCTGGTTAGAGCATGGCCTTGTAAAACCAAGGTCAAAGGTTTGGTTCCCCATACCAGCCAGTCACAAAAAAGAAGAAAAGAAATTAAGATATTTGATATTTCAAATTACTGAAGGGAACTTTAGCATAATATATTTTTCTCTGTTTATAAAGGAAATTTAACAAGTATAAACCTATCAACAACAACAACAACAAAAGCCCTACAATTCTTCTCAACACTTAAAAGTACCAATCTATAAGCAAATATGAATAATAATTAAATAGTGAATTAAATAATAGAAATAATAATTAGACAAATAATGAGAAATTATTCTTTTTTGTTTCCCAAACTTACATCTGGGGTGCTTTTGAAAAGCACACATTCCTGTTCATACACAAAATAAGCAAACTTATGACTTTAAATATAATCTCTAAATCAGCCTTTATTAATTCATCCTGTTCTTTAACAAGATAATATTCATCTAATCTGTGATATGTCTGATACTGTCCTGGGTACTGGGATATCAGAAAGAGAGAGTAAGAAAAGAATAATGAATACTAGAGATTAAGATCATTTTCCTTTCTAGCTCTAATACTCGTTGTATGATCAGGATGAATCACTTAATATCTCAGGGCTTATTTTCTTATGTGTGAAATAAGAATGTCAGTTGGAACAATGTCTTGCTCTCTTCCAAATCCAACACTCAAGGACTGTCTGGAATTAATTGAATTTCACAGTATAACATAATTTTATTGTGTGTATTCACTAAGATTGTTACAACATTCATTGCCTGGGCCTAGAGATTGGAAAGCCTGATTTGAGGCTCTGCCTTCCAGATTCATGAGCCTCCTATTTGGAAAGGATTGAGTGGCAGCTTTTCCTTATCGATTGACATAGTTATATTCCAGAATGTTAATACAGAGAACATTTCTCTAAAGCATACTATTTTTTTCTCCTGGGTTCCCCCATAAAACTATAGTTGAAACTGCCCTGGGGGAAAAAAGGCCCTGGCAGCCTGAGCTGCAAGTCCTTCCCAAGGGAAAAGGTTAGGGTGGCAGTCACAGAAAAGTGGGGGATGTGACCCCTGCCATCATCTGCCTCACTCTTCCCAAGCCGAGGTTTATTCTTGAACCTTCTCTCTCCTTTCTGCCTGCAGTTGGAAAGGTCTTTCAAGTTCATGAGAGAGGCTGAGGACCAGCTGAAAGCTATTCCCCAGTTCTGTTTCCCTGATGCCAAGGACTGGACTCCTGTCCAGCAGTTTACCAGGTATGTGCTGGCACCTCCCCTTCCCACCCCAAAGACTAAGGTGAGAATTAGAGATGGGGTCATACATGGCAGACCCCATAAGTCAGTCCTGCCATTAAGCAATCCTGATAGGCCCCGAGCTAGAGATTTCCTTCAGCAGTATTTTTAAAACTTCCCTGGAGATGAGAATCACTCAGTCTGGGAGTATGTTTGTTTTGTGAGATTTCATGAAGCTCGTTCTTTGTTGGGAAAGCTTCGGGAAACGTTGCCCTTCACTCTCCTCTCCCAGTGCTCCTGAAACTTTTCTTCAGTAGCCTGTCTAGCTGTTACTTGGACTGGGATAAGTTTACATTTCTGCTTCAGCCCATGTTGGTAGATAGCAGTATTTTTATTATCAGATGTCTCAGCATTTGTCTTTTTTTTTTTTTTTTTAAGATGGCCGGTAAGGGGATCTTAACCCTTGATTTGGCGTTGTCAGCACCACGCTCAGCCAGTGAGCGAACCGGCCATCCCTATATGGGATCCGAACCCGGGGCCTTGGTGTTATCAGCACCACACTCTCCCGAGTGAGCCACGGGCCGGCCCTTCTGAAGTTTTTTAATAACCTAACTTCCCTGTGCTCATTGACCCACATGGAATTTTTCACCATGTAGGGAGAACTCCCTACTGAGAGGGAATTACCAAGTTCACACAGAGAGGTTAACAACTGCGGGGAAAGGCTAATGGTTCCTGCTGCATTTTTCATGCCCAGACTCTAGAACTGAGACCACAGGAGTGAGCAAATCTCAAGCAATGCCAGACAGGTGAAAAATGAGCTGTGAACTCCCCCCTGCTGGAGGAGGTGAGGCCTCCGGTTAAATCATAACAGCATAGGTGACACCATCACAAGAGGAGGTTTGCCCCACTAATCCCACAGGAGAAAACTGTCCATGTATAATGTCTCCACTTCATTAGAGCTACAGTTCATTTATTAAATATTAACCATATCAGATGGTTCTATTTGGTGTAGAGTAGCAGAGTCCTTGTTCTTGGAGGGGGATGCTGTGTATCCTCCTGAGAAAGTCCAGTTGGCCATGCTAATTGCCAACAGATTTCTCACACACTGTTATTTCTTCATCTGCCCAGGAAGTACATGCTGCACCACAGGAGACGTGGGACAGAACTTTGTTGCTAGGAGTCTTAATGATAGTAGCAATTAATTATTCACACCAGTAAAAAGAAAAAACTTAATGAGCAGCCCAGCAATGAAACCTACTCTAAGAAGTTGAATATGATGAGGGAAGAAACAGAGCAATCCCTGGTTACTTAGTCCCTCCATTGATCTTTAGATGGAGCCATGCTCTATAGCAGAACCAGAAAGGACCTAGTCTAAGACCCTCATTTACAGATTATGGAAGACTGAGATCTGGAAGAGGGAAGTAACTTGCCCAAGGCACAAAGAAAGTGAGTGGCCCTGAGCTCTTACCATGTGCTACGTTCTAAGCATTTTATGTCCATGTACTACTCATTTAATCTTAACAAGTCTGTAAAGTACATACCTGACGGTGAAGCTTGGCTGATTAATAGCTACACCAACAACCCCAGTAATGTTCTGCTCATCTGGAAATTCACTTCAAAGAAGCTTCATCTAGTTAAATGTCTACAGCCTGTTTGCTCTTTCCCCAGACACAGCTACCTGAACCACTGGACGCCAGACTCAAGAAGAACCGACTCAGAGTACTGTTTTTTTTTTCTTTTTTATTTAACAAAGTTTTATTTTTCCAAATATGTAGTTGGTTAGACCTGTTTCATCTTCACTCACACCTGGGGCAATTCCACCCTTGGTATTCCTGGTGTAAGTTACCTGAGCTCTGTGCTTTGAAGCCAGTTTGATAAGTACTTTACTGAGGAGCTCCTGAAGGGCCGCCCTGGCCACCCACAGCTCTCAGGACCTTTTCCTATTACCTACCTCGTAGACCTGCGTGTGAAGGGTTTGTGACCCAGTCTCTACAACAGGCTCGAGGGGTGTGTGAGCCCTAGCCCTAGCTTTACATATGCATATCTTTGTATACATGTGTCGTGTATATATATTTATCTCTGTTGTGTGTGTGCAAGATTTATTTTAATAGTGCTCTAAATTTATGGAAATATTAATGTAATTTGGTCCTCTTTTCTGGAAAACGAGCCAATATATCACAGCATAGGAATTGCCATATTGAATAGGCTCATCCACCCAATATTCTGGATTGGTGTGTGGAGGAGGATTACTATCCTATATGATGCCAATATCAAAGATTAGGTATAATTCATTTCTTATATTACAGACATGAGTCTAATCCCTAAATTTATTTTAAATTCTTCTTGAGTATATATTTCAGTCTGAGCATTGGAGAATTGAAGTCCCTGCATCTACTGTCCATGGATGTAATCCAGCACTTACTAAAAGCACTTCTAAACCTCCTGCCCAGCCTCCAACCTAAACTAAGAGGAAGCCCAAATTACATGACACAGTGTGATCTCTTGCCATGGTAGCACTTGTACTTCTCTGCAAGTCTGTTTGAAAGAATTGATGCTATCAGTGTAATCTGAGTCATGGTCTCACCTCTACTCCACCTGAGGTGGTAATCATTTCACTTTCAAGTTGCTCATTTACAAGCTCTAGCACGGTTAGGCATTACTGCTCAGGCCAGTCTTTTGCCTGGGTTTGTTTAAACATGAAAATAAGGCGGTAGGTCATAGCCTTTGTTGTTATAGAATGCTTATGAAAGCTAGAAAGAAGTGAAACCGCTCATGGGAGTTAGCCCACCTTCCTGGTGGAGGCTTTGGAGTTCACATACGCTTCATTGCCGTGTCACGAACAGGGGATGTGGAGCAGCAGCTAAACATGCTTGTGTACTTATGTGATGTGCAGTCCTGTGTTTTCACATGTCCGTTTTCTGACCAGGGATATTATATGAGTGTAGTGTGATGACTTGCCAAAGACCACACAACAAATATTCATGATAGAACCAAAAACAGAGCTTTGGCTAACTAATCCCAGGAACTCAAGCTATTTCTAGGTGTGAGACAAGGATGGCCAAAATGGCAAATTGTCCTTTAGAATGGAAAGAGGAAGTGTGGAGGAGAAGCACAGTTCTCAGAATGCCTGGAGAAAGGGCTATCCATTAACTATTGCAACGGTGACGCTGGGTAACAAACCACGGGGCTTCGCCGCGATCAATCATTTGCTCTTGCAGGTGTGTAGGTCAGGTGGGCGTGGCCCTGGCAACCTTCCTGGGCTCACCCAGGGTTGCCAGGAGGCTGGGGTCAGCTGATCAAGTTTGGCCAGTTAGCTGTAGGCTGCAAGTCAGGGCCTGACTCTGGTCCTCAAATCTCTCATCCTCCTTAGGCAGTGAGCGTTGCCCACATGTGCGCTTCTCTTGGCCACGGTGGAGACAGAAAGGGCATGCAGAAATGTGTCAGGCAGGCCTCCGAGGGCCAAGACAGAGCCGCATGCTGGCATTTCTGCCTCATTCCAGTAGTCACCCAGCGTTCAGCAACCTTATTTCATTATTGCACCCCTAAGCAACCTTTTCAGATGTGTTTTTCTCTGATTGCCTTCCCCTGAAATTCTTTTTTTTTGGTCATATCATTTTCTTTTTCTTGTGCTAAGATATACACAACATAAAATTTACCCCGAGGGCCAAGACAGAGCCGCATGCTGGCATTTCTGCCTCATTCCAGTAGTCACCCAGCGTTCAGCAACCTTCTTTCATTATTGCACCCCTAAGCAACCTTTTCAGATGTGTTTTTCTCTGATTGCCTTCCCCTGAAATTCTTTTTTTTTTGGTCATATCATTTTCTTTTTCTTGTGCTAAGATATACACAACATAAAATTTACCATTTTAGCAGTGCAGTGACATTAAATACATTCACGTTGTTTTGTACCCATGACCACCATCCATCTCCAGAACCTCTTCATCTCCCCAAACAGAAATTCTATACCCATTACACTGTGCTATTTCTCTTTTTTCTACTTTCTGTTTCTATGAATTTGATGACTCCAGGAACCTCATAGCAGTAGAATCATACAATATGTGTCCTTTGGTGTCTGGATTCTTTCTCTTAGCATAATGTCCTCAAGTTTTTTCCATGTTGTAGCTTGTGTAGCATATCTTTCCTTTTTAGGGCTGTATCATATTCCATTGTACATATATACCATATTTAGGTTATTTCCACTTTGGGGCTATTGTGAATAATGCTACTATGAACATTAAAATACAAGTTTTTATGTGAACATATGTTTTTATTTCTCCTGGATAGATACCTAGGAGTGGTATGTGCTGGCTCATATGGTAACTCTAAGTTTAACCCTGTGAAGAACTGCCAGAATGTTTCCACAGCAGCTTCTCTATTTTCCATTCCTACCAGCAGTGTGTGAGGGTTGCAATTCCATTCCTTAGGTGGGAGAACTGTGAAGTCACATGGCAGAGTGGACACACAGAAAGGAGAAGAATTGGAGCCAACATACATAGGGTCAGAGAGCCTGTAATTTAAGTTTGAACTGATATGAGGACTGCAGGGCTTCCCCATAATTCATGAGTCACTGTGGCAGGCCCACTTCTAGAACTGAGCTATAGCTTGGTGCCCTAACTTCAGAGTAGCTGAGCTGCTCTTCTAACTCTTGCAGATCTTGGATGAGGTGGAAAAAAGAAGAGGCATCTCTCCTGCCCTGGTGCAGCCTCTCATGAGGAGCGTCATGGAAGCCCCTTTCCCAGCCCTGGGCAAAACCATCATTGTCAAGAACTTCTTGCCAGGTTCAGGAACTGAGGTAAGCCGTCAGATTCCTTTCCCCTCCTAGGGGAGGGAGTGGCCCAGACAACTGAGTCTCAGTGGTGAGAGGGGCTGGCTTTCAGTGGGCTGTCAAGTGCAGTCGTGTCTTCTTTCCACTCCTTAGGCTGGCCCAGATCACTAATCCATGACAGCATCATTAAGTTCCACCCTCAGTCCAATCCATGCAGCCCGGGATTCTGTCCCAGAGAGCAACCCCCAAGAACTATGCCGTGGCAGCATGTGTAGTTTCTTTGCTTGATGTGGGTCTTGCAGGTTAGGGACATGCATGGAACATCCTCAGTTTCTCTTAACAGCCCATTGTCAATCATAAATTTTATTTGGACCTATTTATGTTTCATAAATATCTGAATGTTTCATAATAATCTGAATTACATCTGTAACTTTGTAATGTAAAACAGACTCTTTTCAGGAAAAACAAGCTCAGGTACTGTTTTTTATTCATCATAGACTTTTTTTTTTGGTTGCTGGCTGGTATGGGGATCCAAACCCTTGACCTTGGTGTTACAGTACCACACTCTAACCGACTGAGCTAACTGGCCAGCCCTGCATCATAGACTTTGAAGCATATCCCTTCCTTGGCTGGGCTGGGATTTGATGAAGGAGTTTGTTTTTATCCTTCCCATTCCCTTTGTGAAGCTCTTTGGGTGTAAGAAGACTGATCTCATTCAGCCTTGAGTCTCTAGTTCCAAAGGCCCTCAGAAAACCAGTCACCTCTGGAGACAAAGGAGTGATGAGGATGGGTCCGAGACATTCTGGAACAACCCAATTTCCCAGCACAGAGAGCGTCAGTCTCCCTGATGCTGGCGAACCCAAAACCATCCCATACCATGTGCAGGTGGCTTGGCCACGGGGATGTAGCAGGGAGGTTAATGATGAGTAAGCCCCAATGTGGGGGCAGCACTGGGCAGGTGCTGTGCTGGGAGTAAAATCTAGTCTCTGCTCACTGGAGCTGCTCATAGGAGTTAGGTATTTAAAAAGAAAAAACATGCACAGGAGTAGCAACTTGAGGTGAATTCAAGAACCTTTAGACAAGTACAGAATAAGAAGATTTAAACAAAAGCTGAAAAGACATATTAACAGAAGGTGGTTGGCATGGGTTAGGGTTAATTAAGAAACGCCTGTAAAGGAGGTGAGCACTCTCAGAAGTGCTGCTCAGATCTGCTGGTCCTTCTGCATGAGCTGGTGATTCCAGCAGGTAATTGTCCCTCACAAGACAGAGACACTTTCTACTGGGGCTCTAAGGGACAGGACAGTTTTCAAGTCATCGAACTTGTTCAGGAGAGTCCAGACACGCTGTTGCCAGGGAGAGCCTCCCAAGCACCTTGGGCCAAGGGCCATTGGTTCTACCATCCTCTTTCCTCACCTCTGTCCAGACAGTCCCCCGTCTCCTAGTTGAGCATGAGGCGCTCACTTCCCTACCAAACGTACCTCCTTCCCCAGTCTCCGGGGATCTTTCTTTTCCCTAATCCCTTTTGTTTTCCTTTTTGTTCTCCTTTTTGTTCTTTCCCTTTCCCCTGCCGATGGGTCACCTTGCTGAGGATCTCAGAGCCCTAGGGACCATGGTGCCTGTGAGAGGCCTGGCTGATAAGCTGACCCTCTTCATCGCTGCCCCTGTTTTCCGGCAGGTGATTGAGCTGTGCCGCCCGCTGGACTCCCGGCTCGAACACGTGGATTTTGAGTCTCTCTTCTCCTCTCTCAGCATCCGCCACCTGGTCTGTGTTTTCGCCTCCCTGCTTCTGGAGAGGAGGGTCATCTTCATTGCAGACAAGCTCAGGTACCAACCTTGCCTACTTCTGCTTCAGTGTTTGTGTGACCGTTGGGCTTGGATTCTCTAAAGGCCAGAGAGCAGGTGATTGCCTAGCGCTGAAGATTAAGCCCTTGTGAGATAAGAAAACCAATAGGCAAGTAAGACTGGAGGCGTGGGGGGCACCCCAGTTGTGCAAAGTGAGGTAAACTTGCTCTGCTGCACACTGCTTCTTTGGTATTTGGCCTGCTTTCCACTCATTCTGCCACGAGCCAGACACTACTGTGAGCTAATAACAGAGATGAGAGACACACACCTGTCCTCAAGGAGTTCCCAGTCCAGTGGGGGGAACAGAGAAGTGAACAGACCATACAGTACCGTGTTGTAAAGGCTTGTTAGGGGCAGTGAGTTCTGGAGACCGAGGGAGGGCACTCGTTCCCAGAGGAGGCGAGTTCTATCAGAGTGCCACGACCAGGAGGGGCAATAAGCACATTCCAGGCAAAAGGAGCTGTCTGTACCACGGCTAGGAAACAGGGGAGGCTGAGAATGTCACCTTCGTGAACTGCAAAATTGTGGCATGGGCAGAGAGAGGAAAGTGGAGTAGGAGGAGATGAGCCGGCAGAGGTGGGCAGAGGCCAGGTCAGGAGAGGACAGCACACTTAGCCTAAAGCCATCCCTTTCCTCATCATTCAAAGAAATCGCACATAATCCCACACACATGCTCACTGCCCAGTAGCATGCCACCCACGTCCCAATGCAAAGGCCATGTCACAAATCAAAGAAAACCTGGTGGGAAATGCAGATAGGGATTTGGGTTCATTCAGAATTTCTGAAACAAGAAGAATTTCTTGTAATTTCATCATTTCAAAATACTGAATCAGGGGCCGGCCCAGTGGCGCACTGGAGAGTGCGCTGCTTGGGAGTGCAGGGGCGCTCCCGCCGAGGGTTCGGATCCCATGTGGAGACCGGTTCCCACTCACTGGCTGAGCGCGGTGCGGACGCAACACCAAGGGTTGCAATCCCATTGCCGGTCCCCGGTACGGGCGCAACACAGAGGGTTGCGATCCCGTTACCGGTCAGTAAAAAAGACAAAAAAAAGGAAAAAAAAAAATAAAGAGAACAATGGAGGTCACTCGTATAACTTCGTATAATGTATGCTATACGAAGTTATTACGTAAATGCAAGATCCTCTGAGGGCGGAGGAAACCTGTGTGAATGACAGCTCCAGTGCCAGCCATTTTGGTTTTTACTGGAGGATGGGATGAACCAGAAACCTTTTGTGGGGAAAGTGCAGCAGGTATGCACATGGTATTTGACAAACTAAGTGTGCTTTTTGGCAGCCATAGCATCAGCATGGTATAAGAAGACAGAAGTCGAGACATCTTAAGTTTCTTGTCCTGACTATCACAGTGTTTTAACACCAAGGTCAAGGGTTCAGATCCCCGCACTGGCCAGCCACAAAAAAATTTAAAAAATACTGAGACAGAGCCTCTTTGCTTTGGAATTGAGGGCACAGAAGCCTGAGTGGTGGCTGCAGCTCTGGGAAAGGCCGACACGTGGGGGTCAGCCAACCACGAGAAGCAGATGAGGCCACCTGAGAGGTTCATCTGGGAAGAAGAAACGCCAGAACCAAAAACAAGTGAGGAAGTCTGGTTTGGAGAGGAAATATGACTCCGGACTATGGAAAACAAACGGGGGAAGAAGAAAGGGAGGAAGAATGGAATGGACAAAATGTATCAACACCGAGCACCTCGAGAGGCATCCAGCCTCTCCTCCCGCTGCAGCCCATCTGGCCACCTTTAGGATGCTCCTCTTCGGACAATAGCCAGTTGGCTCTGCCCAGTCTGCTCCCAGCCATTCACTTGTAAATGCCATAGTTACGTCCTCCGCACGCACTTCCATCAGCGCCGCCCTGCCTTTAAGCCTGCAGCTGGTGCTGGGCGTGGGGCGGCTCTCCAAGCCCTGGGCACTGGGGAGTTCACACAGAGCATTCTCAAGGTTGAGGCCCTGGAAGCTGAGGATGAGTAATAACCCTTCAGTGTCCAGGATCGGATTTCATCTCTTTATTCTCTGGAAGCCCCACTCCATCCCCCACTGCCCCATCCCGTAGTGGTAGAATTCTAGATTTCATCAGCTCTGTAAGCTGTCTTTATTCTCTGGAAGCCCCACTCCATCCCCCACTGCCCCATCCCGTAGTGGTAGAATTCTCAGGTTAAAGCAATGGATTTGAGAAAGGCCTAGGTAAGAACTGGAAGGGCAGCCGGTACCCTAGCACCCACCAGGAGTGGAGTTGGGGACAGACAGTTCCCTTGGGGAGCTTGCTTCTGGGAGAAAGACGTTAGGCCTGGGGTGGGCCCAGCCTGAGAAAATGTCCTTAGAGGAAGGGCCAGGCAGGGGGTGCCCCACCCGCCCCAACCCAAACCTCCCCCAGGCTTCCTCCAGGGAGGAAAGCAGAGAGAATCATCTATTTTTCTGGCCAAGTACAGTGAAAGAAAAGGTGAGGACAGAAGGGGGGCGGGGAGCCTTATACAAGACGAACGTGTCCCTGAGGGGCAGCCTAGGGGATATGTCAGAAGGCTCAGGGCACAAGACACCTAGAAATGCTTACTACAGAGATGCGTGGGAGAGGTTTGGCCACCTCCACATTTCCCTGGACAGACTTCTGGGTTGACGGATTGGATGCTGGCCAAGCCCCTCCCACAGAGCTGCTGTCATGAGAGACAAAGGATTTTGAAGGGACCCCAACAGCTGGGCCTCAGTTGGTTCCCTGCCCTGGGGCAGCTTTATGGAGGTGATAGGTCACTGACATGGTCTGATAGGAGGGACTTGGGGGTTTCTCTCCCCACCCCACCTTCCATGGCACCCGGCATTCTCCCGTGAGAGGGGCGGGAAGTGGGCCATGGCTGCTGCCCGTGCTGTCACAGGCCGTGTTGCCCGCTGGTGTTTGCTTTTGCAGCCGCTGCCAGATGTTGGTCACCAAGGGGATGGGATTTTTGTAGGGGAGGAGGAGGCAGCAAGAACACAGATAGCTTTGGTGTCCTTCTTGGCCAGAGCCAGGTGCTGCGGTAATGGTATGTGTGAGATACCTCACTTGCCTTTTACAGCCTTTACAGCTTCTGGGCCTGCACATCCTCTCTCACCCACAGGGAGCTCCTCCTCAGCCTGGGCCCAGGTCCCCTCATTTGGGAGGCACATGGATTGTCTGAGCTCAGGCCCCTTGTGGCTCTGACTTTCTGAGGCTCTGGATCGTGTTTTCCCTGAAGGCAGCCCACGCTTTTCCTGTTATAAATGGCTCAATCTGTTGTCTCTCTTGCCTGATAAATTGCCTTTCCATCCTACACTAGTTCCATGCAGACCTGAAGAGGTAGAAAAGTAAATAAATAAAGGCCCAAAGAGCTCAGAGGCAGGAAGAGAAGAAAACAAAGAGCCGGGGAACCTGACGAGAATAGAGGGCAGGACCAAGCATGGAGTGTGGCCTGAGGGCAGGCGCCATTTCTCCACAGCCCTGTCAGACAGATGCTGCTATTGACCAACAGGCGCACAGAGGCTCAGTCACTTTGCTCAAGGAAGCAGGCAGCGGGAGAGCTGCCTGGCTCTGGAGAAGAGGACAGGGGAGGAGCCAGGCTGCGGCAGTCTGGGGGTGGGTAAAGGGCACTCTCTGCGGTCCTGTCTGTCTACAGAAATGCACTAAGACCCCTTTTGTGCCGGGCAGTCAGGTCAAAATTGTCACTAGGAAGCCCATGCTTTCTTCCTCAGGGCTCTCCCTCCCTCCTGCGCAGCCTTTTTCCACCAGCAGGAGCCCCAGTGAGGTAGGTGGGACTGGATGACCCCAAGGTCTCCCCCAGCTCTGAAATTCTCTGATTCCATGGCCTTGAATGCTTAAGGCCTCCTGGGACTGTGCTCCATGAAATCCTCTGAAATTCTCTGACTCCATGGGCTAGGTGGAGGAATCCGTATCTACCTCGTTCACCTCGTTCTGTCTGATGAATGGGAAAGTAGCTGTAGAGGACTGAAGGTTCTTTGGCCAGGCCATGACAAACAAGGGTCTGGGGACCAGTGGCTGGCTGCAAGTTGTCTGACCTGGAAAATTCTTTTTTTTTTTTGACCTGGAAAATTCTTGAAGAAATCTTCAGCATAAGTTCCAGCTAGTGCTCTCATCCTCAGCGCTGTACCCGCTGCACGTGCACTGCCTCCTGGCCCTGTCCAGCTAAAAGTGGGAGAAAGCCTCCTTATCTCCTGACTTCTCTCCGGACCCCCAATCTTAGTGAAACCACAGAACAGAGCATGAGAACAGGACATGTCACAAATTCAGTGAGTGGCCCTGTGACATCCCAGAGTGGACATTAGCCTGCTCTAGATCTGCAGTCACTCCCTCCAGCACTCTCCCCCACAATTTATGACTCATCATTGCTAGCAAGTCTGCCCACAGCAGGAGGAAATTGCAGGGAGTCGTGGCAAATATTGTATGAGTTAGAAAAGGGTTTTAAGTTCAGCCAAAAATCTATCAAATTTAGAATAACATTTTTGCTTCGTTTCATCTTTATGGTGGACGTTGAGTGTTTCTAACGGCTGTCAAGCCAAAGTTTGACAGATGGAAAAGAAAGAATGTTGTTGGGATGGCTTGTTCTATTCTCATAACAACACAGACAAATAGTTCCCTATACCCCATCTTCATTTTCCTGATGATAAACATGTTGTTTTGTAGTTTACTAATTTTAATTCCCCCCAATTTTTTTTTTTTTTTTTATTTAAAAGATGACCGGTAAGGTGATCTTAACCCTTGACTTGGTGTTGTCAGCACCACGCTCAGCCAGTGAGCGAACCGGCCATCCCTATATGGGATCCAAACCCTATATGGGATCCAAACCCGTGGCCTTGGTGTTATCAGCACCACACTCTACCGAGTGAGCCACAGGCCGGCCCTCAGGAATGATTTTCGAAGATAAAAAGCAGGCCTAATTCCCCCAAATTTTGACTAAACCTACAGACCAGCCTGAATAATAAAGTCAGAGCTGCACATAAGCAAATTT